ATATATATATATATATGTGTGTGTGTGTATATGACAGCGAACATGTGCTTTGAATATAGTAAGGGAAAAAAATATGTCCGTATAATATAAGCAGAAAAAATATATAAATATTGAATAAAATATAATTTTAATTCCTCTAAAAAATAATCACATTTGGATTTGTCTTTCAATTTTTTCAATCTTATTTTGGGTGTTATCCAAACAACTTTAAAAAGAAAAAAGCAATACATTTTTAAATTAAAAAACAAATAGGGTAAAACTGAATTTCAAAAATTTTTAAAAATAAAAAACATATTTTAGTCTTGGGAACTCGTATATCACAAATCTATAAATATAAGATTTTGGATTTATGGTTTAGAATTTAGAGAGTGAAAGAAAATGATCGTGAATGTTTGCCGAGACGGAAATGAAAAACTAACTATACGTGAAAATAAAATAGTAGAAACGTATGATAAAACATCTCATCATTTATTTCTCCGAAAATTGAAATCAATTAGCTAATAAATCCATAGCCTTTGGGGCTGAGTATATAACATGGTAATGGGATCTATCCTTACACAAGCTAATACCCCAAAATAATTACATAACAAAAACAAAACAATATAAAAATAAAAGGCAAAATTATGATAATGTGACAAAGAGATGACGCGTGATCTAACAACTGTTCCTACGCTGGATTTTTCTCATATATATACGTACATCCAAGACCAAGTAACAATTTCAATTTCCAACTCTCTTCCGCGCAAAACCAGGTCCTGATTTAAAAAAAATTACAACTGTACTAACCCTGGATGTAAAGTATGTCGTTTAATTTCACAAAGCAGCGTCCTGAAACAAATGCTGGAAGTTAATTTTGCTACCCTTTCCACTGCGTTCATTTTTCATATATCAACAACACACGACAATTCACAAAGCCTGTACACTGCTTTAGGATCCCGATTTCAGCCGCGTTTTGCCAAGCCATTCTGTCAAAACATATCGCCATGCAACAATATTAAAGATAAACCCGCCACGTAACTCATTAGTTTTCATGATAAGACTGCAACAGATGAGTATGTCATTGTTCTACGGTTTTTAACACTGATTAACATACTCAGTTACAGACTTACAGCTCAAGACTTTCAAGGTGTCAATCACATACTCCCTCATTTGAAGAAAAAAAAATTCATAAAAGTTAATTATTAACATTAAATTTTACTACTTTTATAAATTATCTTTATTATAAATATTTAAAGAAATAATATAATTAAAAAGTTATATATTAAAAAAATGTTTTAAATAAAATATTATTAAATGAGACATTAAATATGTTCATTTTCCTTATAATATAGAACAGAAGTATATAATAGCACGCAAATACAGTTCTATTTTAGTGAAAAATCCGTAAAGCATTGGATTTTTGAAAATATGTAAACATTACCTGAACCAAATTAAAATGCACCTAACCGATCGACAGAGTCTTCATTAATTTCACCAAATATATTAGGGCACCCGTCCCATCTTCCAAGGTCTTTTGCTTCCCAATACCCACCAACGTATCGAAATGTTCCATTTTCACCTTCTCTTCGGAACCACCTAGGCTTCCAACCATTTTCTTGTATTTTCCTCGACTGTAAACGTAAGAATCATGATGATCATCAATATAAAAGAGAAAAACCAGTTCAATTTAACTCAGATTGAAAAAAAGTTACACTCAAACTTTTATTTTTTATTATTAAAATCTATATTTTTCTATTGAATCTAAACACGCAATAACACCAAAATTGAAACAGTGATGACAATTTAAATAGATTCATTGAAAACCACAGATATCAGAAATCAGAACTAAACCCTCAAGTATTCCAAAAACTCCATATACAATAAAAGGGAGAGAAAATGTGTGCCCATAGCAGAAAAGACGGAAGAGCTTTCAGACATACCATTCTCTGTCGCTTTTCCAACCTTTGTTTCTCGAAATTAGCCTTCTCGTATTCCCCATTCTCTAGATGCCGTTGATCTGGTCTGAGCCTGGAATCTGTGGGCGGGAGCTTCTCCTTTAATCCGTCATCAAATACCCGGGATCAGAAAAGGCTATAAAAAACAATTAGAGACGCATATATAAGAAGTGGAATGCATATAATAATGATTTAATACATCATTATATACCTTCAGTCCCGGAGTAAGCTCATTCAGAGTGATGGCAAATGGTGTCAAATTATACCGGGTGAGATTAGGAGATGGCATAGTCCTTTTCCACAACAAGGATGCGTTTGATGAAGAGAAATCTTTAGGCTTAACATTCACATTACCACTCATATAATACATGCTATCATCCCATTTGCCAAATAATGTGGCTACTTTTTTACCCGTTGCATCTTCGACAAATCCATGCACCTAATTGAACGCAATATACACATTGAATTAGATGCTAAGCAAAAATGACTTTGAAGATAATGTGTTATTGAGAATTTGGACACGGGCAAAAATTGATAAAGCAGGTAAACCAACCGAAATTTAAGGAGTAAAGATAAATAGAATAATATATAGACATGTTGCAAAGAATAAAGATTGTTACTTGTCAGTTGTCACTAACAACCAATAACTCTTACCTGACGAGGATTTCGGTCGAGGATCGTCTGCTCTTTGAACTTGAGTCTGCATGAATATTTACGATTACCACGTATATCCATGTTCCCATGATGATCACAGTATATTTTCCCAAGGATAAGATTATAGATCGTGGTGGTGACCTGATAGGAGAAACAATAACAATCGTAACATTAATTTAGAGAGAATATATACATGAATTTTAAAGGCGCGTCCTAGTACAACCGGGCGGATTGGCGAATATAATAGATAGTGATTTTACAATGCACACCTTGCTCCACTGAAATATTTCACCATCATTGAACTCTAGGGTCAGAACACCCACGGGGTCAAGCTGAATTGACCTTCCCCAAAACTTTGAATGGATGTTGCTGTCAGCCCAAAACTTCCATCCTCTACCTTCGCAGTGGCAGGCAATGAGAGTTGGATGGTGACTAACCTGTTTCACGTATAATGTCCACAACGTGAAATATATTGTCAGAATAATGAATTGCACACAATTAACTAGACAAAAATACATATGAAAATCGAATTCTATGCCTAAACACTATTATTTATGAACTGCTGGAACTTGTAAACATGCCTGATGCATAGTAAGTCCACTTTTTGATACAAGGATAAATTACGCATTTCACCCTTAAGAGAAGAGAGTTGTTAGTTAATTTAAATCACCTGGTTCTCCCCTGCACACATTAAGACTAACTAGACAAAAATACATACGATCGAAGATCGAATTCCATGGAGATATATAATGTATGCCTAAATGCTATTATGTATGAACTGCTAGAACTAGTAAATATGCATGATGCATAATAAGCACACTTTCTCAATAAGCATAAATTACACATTTCTCCCCTTGAGAAATGCTAGTTAATTTAAATCACTTGGTTTCCCCCTGTATTTTGAAATATTATAACACCCCCCCCCCCCCCAC